ATGTTTAATCTTAATGGTTATGTTACATGCTGTTGCCAATATGTTTTAAATGCTAGATTTTGATATATCGTATTTTTTGCTCTATAAGACGCACTTTTTTCCCCCTCAAAAGTAAGGGGAAATGTCTGTGCGTCTTATAGAGCGAATATGTGTGTGCAGTAAGTCTGTCAGATGTGCAGCCCATGGGGAAGTGATGGGGAATGTGCCTGTGATTATGTGCCCATTTGATTCAGAATATTTTTTTTCTTGTTTTCCTCCTCTAAAAACTAGGTGCGTCTTATGGTCAGGCGCGTCTTATAGAGCGAAAAATACGGTAATTAAATTTTAATGGCTTTCATCTTATTTTGGAGTTTTATCTATTTATGTGTTTTATTTATTATTTTATTTGGTTTATTCTGGATTTATTGAATTTCCATAGTTTATGTATGATTTTATTGCTATCGGTCCTTTAGTTGTGTATTGTCATGTGGTCTTTGTATTGTTTTATGCATTTTAATATGATGTAAGTCACCCAGAAAGCCTATGGCTTTGGGGTGACATAGAAGTTGAACAAATATATTAATAAACTCTACCATTGGCTTTCATTCTCTTGGCTTTTAAAAAGTGTGTGATAGTTAACTTGGATTTGGAATTTTCAACCACGTGGTTATTTTGTTGTTAACCATCTTTAATGCTTTTGTTTCTTCTTGTTTAAAGTCCTTCTTGTGTAAAATTATTGTGCTTTGCCTTGATGTTGGTTTTTTGATTTAGCAAATAAGTTGATTTGTCGATGTTAATTTCATAAGGAAAACATGATTATCATCTGGACATGGCCTTGTTACGACAGTGTGCCCTAAGAGGAGGTTTTAAGGTCCTTTAGGGTTTGATCCTTTGGAGATGCTGGTAACCCTCCAACCCCAGAGGATTGTGGGAATCCTGTGTGGGGTGGGAAAAGCGCAGAGATGGTGGCTGCCTCTGTGTGTTTCTTGCTCTGCTGCCACTGATTTCCAAAGTCCTCAGAAAAGGAGGCACCCCCAGAAATTTCATATCTTGACAGCACCAGTCTCTTCCCATTCCCTCAAGCATCCCCCCAAATCCCCCTTCTCCAGGGTTGCTCTGGGAACCTTGCAGAAGCAGCTGGCCTGGTTCTTTGTCTAAGGGGGATCCCAGCTGTGGGATCACAGCGATTTTCTGACATTGCAGCTGAGAATCTGAAACATCCTGAGATTGCCTAGCGACTGTCCAGCGGCTATCAGACTGTGCTGCCAATTATTTATTTTTATTTATTTATTTGGGATTCTTGTATGCCACCCCATTCGCATAAGCCTCGGGGAGGCTTCCAACAAATAAATAGCAGTACAATACATTTTTTAAAAATTACATAGATAAAATAGTGATCACGGCAGGGGCATATAAATCCAGACCCACGAGGTCTGTTATCAATTCGAATGGAAGTCTTCTTGCCTGGGGTGGGTGCAGGGCCGTCTTAACGCACGGGCCTGATGGGCACTTGCCCCTGGGCCCCATACTAATCTGTGTACATTAACCCTTGGAAAATTGGAAAACTTCCAAAATTAACCGTAGTTGTAGTTGTCGTAGGGGCCCCAGGACACTGCTTTGCCCGGGGCCAGTAATGCTGTTAAGACGGTCCTGGGTGGGTGTGGGGGTTATTTGCGCTTTCAGTAGAGGACTGTACTGCATTCCATTGTGCCGCCGGCCTTCAGGCTGGGACATAGGGACACAGAAATGTGGGGAATTGCCTTATGCTCCCTATAAGACTTGGGAGTGGGACTTCTCAGTAGTGGCACCCACCTTCTCGAAAGCTCTTCCCCATGTGGTTTGAGAGGCGGAATCCGTGGCAAGCTTCCAACTCCTCTTCAAAGCCCAATCGTTCACTCAGGCTTTCCCCAATTTGTTAATCGGTCACGAGGATGCTCTGTTTTACGGCTTTTTTGGGAATGTTTTTAAAGCATTTGCTGTCTCCTGCTGTTTTGCATGCTTTTATGCTTTTCTTACATGTGCCTTTACACAAACCACTAGAAATCCGTGGAAGTTAAGTGGCAGAGAAGCAGCTTACATAAAAATAAAAGTCCGAGTGAGAGCACAGGTTCATCTAGCTTATGGCCATCAGCGTGACCGGCAGATCTCCAGGGTTTCAGGCAGGGTTTCCCAACCCTGCCTGGAAAAGCCAGGATTCACCTGGGCACCATCTACATGCAGAACATACGCTCCACCTCAGAGCTCTTCCACAGTACTGGCTAAATCTGCTGTTTGCCCAACACAATAAGTCCAGCTCTTGCCATCCTAAGATTAGCACTTAATTACAGCTGGTGACTCAGTTTTTCAGTGTTCGTGGGAAGAGAAACAGCACACTGGATCCATCCAGCATGGGTCACTTGCTGTTTGCAGCCATGGTTACGGAGTCAGCAGTTCATTCCATAGACAGGGCACTAAAGTCTGTTAATGACTCGCCCTTCCCTGGGCCCCGTGCGATGCCCATTCATGCTCCCTTAGGTCACACCTAGCCAGGCATTGTCCATCTGCAGGTTCTTCGGCAAGGAGAAGCCTTTTTATAACTTCTCTGCATTGTGGTGCAGCAGGGAGAGGTTCTGCTTTCATGTCGAAGTTTGAGCAAGACCTTTGTTACTGCTGAGCTCCTTTAGTCTTTGCCTCAAACATCTCAGATTTTCAGCCTGAAGAGGAAGAAGGTGTCTCTTGGCCCTTTTGGGCTTCATCTGATTCTTCCATATAGCCTGAAGTGCTTGATCCTGCCTAATCTTGGAAGCTAAGCAGGGTCAGGCCTGGTCAGAATTGGGATGGGTAACTTGAGTGTCTGTTTCTATGATTATTGTTGTAAACTGTCCAAACAGCTTTGTAATAAATAAATCTTTCTCCTCCTTTAATGTTGACCTCACGGGTGTAGTTTGGTAATTTTGGACTCTTGAATTACTGATCTTATGGGAGATATTCCTCGTTAGGTGGCAGCAGGTATGAAATCCCTCTCTTCAAATGTTGTAAGCCAGGACAAAGAACTTTGGAAGGAGGCCCTCCTTCTCATTCGGCTGAGTTAGAAACATAGAAATAGAGCTAGTCAGACGGGGTCTCCTGGGCCATCAAGTCTGACCCCCAGCTCCAGCTGGCTCTGCACATGACTTGCCTACCAAGTAGCCTATCCTTGAACACCCGCACCGATGGGGCCTCAACCACCTCTCGTGGAAGCCCATTCCATGCCCTCTGGGTCCTAAGTGTCAAGAAGTACTTCCTGGCATCCAACTTGAACCTGGGTTCCCTGAGCTTTGCTCCATTGGAGCGCGTCTTGCCTTCCTCTGCAGGGGAGAACAGGTCTCTCCCCACCTCCGTGTAACATCCCCTGACATACCTATATGTCGCCAGCAGATCCCCTTGGGGTCTCCCCTTGGAGTTGGGTCCCAGTCAACTGCCCTACCGTTCTGCCCTGACGCTGGTTGACTTTTTCCTCATCCAGCCATCTTTTCCTTGCCACCGGGCCTGAAAACAATCATGCAATGACTGGTAACTGTAGACTGGCTTCTCGGAGTGAAGGTACATCCTTGGACACAAGGATGGCTAACAGTGTGCGAAGGGGAAACTGGCACTCGGTTCCTTTCTGTCTCATTTGTGGTGTGCCCAGATTTCAGTCGGGGCCCCTCGCTGCTGCTGCAGTCCCTCCCCGAGGTCCCAGACCGGCTTGTCTTGAAATCTGTGCCTGGCTAGCCATGCTCTCTCTCTCTCTCAAGTGCAAGCACAGGGCCTGATTTGGATCTGAAAAGTGCCACTGCCCCATGTGAGGGTCCTGATCCAAATTGGGCCCCCTGAGTCTGTTCTCAGACTTGACTTCTGTAACGCGCTCTACGTGGGGCTGCCCTTGAAGACGGTCCAGATACTTCAATTGATTCAAAATAGAGCTGCCAGGCTGCTGACGGGGACTGGGCGTTATGTTCACATGACTCCAGTTCTCTGTCAGCTTCACTGGCTCCCAATTGAAGTCCGGGCCCAATTCAAGGTGTTGGTGATGACCTATAAAGCCCTAAACGGCTTGGGTCCTGGTTACCTGAACGAGTGCTTACGTCCGTATATGCCCGCCTGCCCCTTGCGATCAGCGGGAGAGGCCCTTCTCCGGGAGCTCTCCGTGAAGGAAATTAGGAGGGTAAGTACTCGGAGGAGGGCTTTCTCTGCAGTGGCGCCCAATCTATGGAATGCGCTTCCCAGAGAGGTCTGCCTGGCGCCATCGTTATTGGTTTTTTGGCGCCAGGCGAAGACCTTTTTATTCAAACGTTGTTTTAATTGTTAATATTATTTATTTATTTTATTCTTGGCCAGATTGACTCAAATTGTATTGCTTTTATATTGTGTTTATTTATTTATTATTGTGAGCCACCCTGAGGCTTCGGCAAATGGGGCGGCATAGAAGCCTCATGAATGAATGAATGAATGAATGAATGAATGAATGAATGAATAGATAGATAGAGTAAAGCAAAGAGAAAAGGTGTAGCTGCAACATACAGGCTTAAAGGAATGTCTGTGTTGGCCTATAGAATACTAGAAGAATTAGTATTAGTAACCACAGCTGTTTAGTCACAGCTGTGGTAGGCCTGACTTAGCCTGTGAGATTCATATTCTGAATCACAGGGTTGAAGAATGTAAGAAAAACTCGGCTGGATCAGAGCAAAATCCAATGTAGCCCAACAATCTGTTTTCACAGTGGCCAGCCAGACCCCCGTGGGAAGCCTTCAGCAAGACCTGAGTGCAACAGCTTCTAGTCCTGATGAGTTAATGCTACCCCACCTTTTCCCCAGCTCACTGCCTCTGATACTGGAGGTAGCATAAACCCACCAGGACTAGAAATATAGCCTTAACTTTGTAATAGCTTTATCTTCCATTTATGAGTTAAGATATAATTGGTTTTAGTGGAGCGAAAGGAAATATGCCATTTCTCAGACTTGGTACTAAAATAACACCTGGCTTTTAGTTAAAATTGTGCCTTCTGTCCATTTTCCCCGCAGGGCCCTTCCGCTCCTGGTTCCTTATCCAGAGTGATGGAAAATTCTTCCGTGGCTTCGGCCTCGTCTGAGGCAGGGAGCAACCGATCACAGGAAATCGAGGAGCTGGAGCGATTCATCGACAGCTACGTTTTGGAGTATCAAGTCCAAGGCTTGTTGTCAGACAAGACGGAGGGGGACGGGGAGAGTGAGAAAACGCAGTTGAATGTCTCACAGGTGGGTACAGAATAGCAACCTGTGCAAAGGATGGATCAGAGTTGCAATTTACAAGGCAGGTGGATTTCTTGAGGGCAGAGGGGCCAAGAGCTGCCCTGCTTCCTTGCTCTGCTTCTTCTGTGACCTCAAATATTAATCCAGGGGCAATAAACATTTGCCCACAACTGCACTCCAAAGAGGACAATATTTTCTGGCTGCAACGAAAAGGAGACCACTTGCACTCCAGTGCTATACGCGTGTGTGATTGTTAGGTGTCCTGAGATCACTACTAGAATACAGCACCATAAGGTAGATCGGTGGCCTGGGTGGGCCAACCAGGTGCTTCGGATATAATCTAACATTTTAGCACACACTTCCTGTGTTCCCCAATGCAGAATTGGTTAAGGATATTGGGGGAAATGAAAGATCCGTCCTCTAAAGAGAGCTATCCCAGAGAAACAGCATGAGCAAACATTGTTGAAGGTGGAGAATCTTTTAAGGGTGGATTCAGCTGGCTGTTGGGAACCCAAAACATAGGAGTGGGTACAGCAGAGGGCACCCTGCAGACCCCCATCCCCCCTGCCCCCCCGTCCCACAAACATGGAGCCCGTGGTACGATGGTACCTGTTTTGAGAAGTTAAGAAGAGCGGCCCAGGATTCTCTCTGCACAGTGGCCATCCAGCTGCCTGATGTTATTCTACAATATGACCAGTTGAAAGTAGCGATGTGGGTTTTCCAGAAAATAAGGAATTGGTATACTTTCCAGTGCAAATTTGGATAATATACATAGAATGCATATTAGAAAGTGCTCAAGTTTGCATTGGAAAATTTGATTCTCAACTATCTCATCTAAAGCTAAAAATGAGAGTCCCTTGTTGGCTTTATCCCAGTGCTCCACAAGATTTCCACCCTTTATGTTTAGTTTCGTCTCCTTTTAAGACATCTATCTGCTTTAATGTCATATATGTATTTTCTCATATACATGAGATAACATTTATCACAACTCTGAAACTTTCAAGCTTGCCTAATACTGCACTTGTGGTGGGCATCCACTGATAAAAGATTTTATTTTCTTGGGCTCCAGGATCACCACAGATGGTGGGTGATCCTTGGGAGGAAAGCTATGGCAAATCTAGACAGCATACTAAAAAGCAGAGACGTCACCCTGCCGACAAAAGTGCGTATACTCAAGGCTATGGTTTTCCCATTGCAATGTATGGCTGTGAAAGTTGGACCATAAGGAAGGCTGAGTGCCAAAGGATTGAGGCCTTTGAATTGTGGTGCTGGAGGAGACACTTTGTCCACCTAATTAGAAGGTCACTGGAGAAGTCACTGATGGTGGGAACAAATGATGGCAAAAGGAGAAGGGGACGGCAGAGGTTGTGGTGGCTGGATGGGGTCACTGGGGTCGTGGGTGTGGGCTTGGGTGGACTCCAGGGGATGGTGGAGGACAGGAGAGCCTGGACGAATGTTGTCTGTGAGGTCATGATGGGTTGGACATGACTTTGCGACTGAACAGATCCACCGATAAGGATGAAATGGAACATTTTTTGGAAGAAAATAGAGCACTGGAAAAAAGTCTGCAGGACATTTTCCATCCCACATTTATTTATGTATATGACTTACTTCCTGCTTAAATATAATACAATTCCTAAGTGGGACGGCATCACCCTTAGAAAGTGCAGTGAAATACATTTCTGCTGGAAGAGGAGGACACTCTCTTCAAAGGGAGAAGCTAATCCAGTGAAGATGGTTCTGTGGACTTAGATATTGGTGCACCTCTTGAGTTATTTCTTCTTTGCTACTTCAGTGCCCTACAGGAGACATGTTGCTAAATTTTCCAGGGTGGGAGGGATGCTTTTACACTTCAGGGTGCTGCCTTAGCTGGACAGATCATTTCATCGGGGTCCTCAAACTTTTTCAACAGGGGGCCAGTTGAAAGGCGGTGGTGGTGGGCGCAGGCAGGGCACGGCGAGGTGGCAGCGGGTGCGGATGTGGCCACCCCCATAATTAAAAATAGATTTCAGAAGCTATATTTTTGTTACCATCAATTCTTTCTTTGTCTTTATCATCGTCTCTCTTTCCTTTCCGCCCGCCTCTCTCCTGTTTCCCACTCTGCATTCCTGCTCTGTATATGTGTGCAATGGGGGGAGATCTGGGCATGTGCAGTTGAGCCGCTGCAATTTGGGCGTGCGCCGGCTCTCTCTCTCTGCTCAGTTTTAAAGAACACCTGTGCCGGCTCAGAGCTTTTGAACTCGCTCAGAGATCGTTTTCTCCAAGCGAGTCCAAAACATCTGAGGCAGGCCAGATGAATGGGCAAGGTGGGCCCGATCTGGCCTGCGGGCCATTGTTGGAGGACCCATGAATTACATGTTTGATTTGATTCTCGCTTTTCCAGCTGGGGAAGTGGGCACAGGGCTCAGAAACAGGAAGGTTTTAATTAAAGGCAGCGCAGTGATGCAAAAGCAATGGTGCCGGTCAGCTGGACAGGAGGAGCAAGGCAGCTGGGGAAAACACCAGGCCATGAGCTGCATGGAAGAAGATTCTGATTTGCTTTCAGCTGAGCAGCACTACGTTAGTCTCAGCATCATCGGCAACATTTTTCCACATGGGGGACAGAAGGGTGTTTGCCCTTCATCCTGTGCATAGATGTTCCTGTTGTAACACCAAGAACCTGATAGACTTGGGGTAGAAGGCAAAGCAGAGAAGCATCTCCGCTTCGAGAAAGAATTTCCATTTGTTGTCAGTTTCAGTGGTTGTTCCCAGGCTGGTCTGCGCCTGCTGGCCTGGTTCAGAGGCAATGGGAAATTGTAGCAGCCGCTCCTGACAAACTCATCCGAGTCCTGATAAATCTGCAAGATTCTCTGTAACTTCTGCTTGCGCCAGGGCTCCCCCGCCCCCCCCATGCAAGTCTGCCCCTTTGCTGGGCTGTGGCCGTGGAAAACGAGCACAGCAACAGAGTTTCCGGATGGAATGCTTCCAGGCGTCCCTCTGCCCTTTTTCCTGCCTCAGCCACATAGTGGTGGAAAAGGAAGACAATATAGTAAAACATAAAATACAGGCTAACCAGAGTAGGAGTTCTCAATGCGACGGTCTGGTTGCTTAGCAGAGTTGCGTTTTTCTGTTTCTCGCAAGCATCTTGTGAGTGAATGAACCCAATGGAAGATCCTTGCTGGAGCCTTTGGGTTCTCTTCCAAGGAAGCATTTGGCTTCCCAGCATGGGAAAAATGGCAATATTGGACAGGAGGGCTGTTGTGGCAATATGTCTCACAAATGCAGAAATCAACACGCAGGCTGCAGCCAGGTAGAATGCGAAGCTATGATTTAAATTGTAGATTTCTTGGAACAAGTCTGGCCAAGCCTTGGGTTGCATGCTCCTTTTCCTCAAGCTTGGTGGAGATGATAAGTTTTTGCTTCCCTTTTTAACCAGCTGCAATTTAGGTTGAGGACTGAACTTGGTTAGTCTCACCCTTGGTTTACTAAAACCGGCCGACTTCAATGCAAGACTTAAAAAGCTGACTTCTTTCATGAAGCAAACCACCATTTAAGGTTTGATTGAGTGTTTGGATGTAATTTAGTGGTGGTTAATTGAAAACAGAAGCACAAGTTTCCAGTCCACTGCACCAAAAGTGCTGGGAAGATGCATGCAAACCCAGGATCCTCCCAGCCTCATTCACATTCAGCAAAACCATCGTTAAACTTGCTGTCCAAATAAAGCCATAAATTGGTTGAGGGCCTTGTGTGAAAACATTCTGAGCAGTCTGTCATTGCTGCTGCACTGGTCATCAATGACAAGTAAGAATGTTTTCCAGATGACCAAGCCAGAAAACATCAGTAAATTGGAAGAGGCTCAAAAAAATTTATGTGCTTCAAATAGCTATCATGTGGATAGACATGCTGTTAAATGTTTAGTAACTTTTCTACACTTATTTGCAACACAGGTCATTGTTTTCCCCTCCGTTTCAAGTCCAAAGGCAGTTCCTCCTCTGCAGATGTTCTCCTGCCGTGGATAACCTTGGATTTCACTCGGCACCTTCCTTTCCCTTCTTTTTCAGTGGACGGCTGACTGTAACGAGCAGATCGAGGGCAGCGGTTCTTCCTTCAGGGCCAAGGGCTTAGCACCTCAGAATCAAAACCAGGTGAGGACATCTCATTCGTGGGGTGCTGGCTTGGTGCATTTCCGAAGCTGTGGACTTTGCAGTTCGCATCCAAGCCTCAGGTCCCCTGATAATTTTCAAGGCCAGCCTGGCAAGCGGAAAGTGACGCTCTCACTGTTGGCTGCAGGGAAATCCATCCTCTTAAATTCATCTGAATTCGCAGGTCCAGAGTAAAGTTTCTCTGAGCAGGATCACATGTGATTCTGAGCAGGCTAATCAGGAGTGAAGCTGGACCTCTCTCCCTCCCTCCCTTCCTCTTTCTGCTTCCTGTAAGTGTGCAGGGCCCCGCTTTGGATCAGGACCGCCTTCCTTAGGAGCAGAAGGTTAGACCCGGTGCCCTCTGACCATATACTTCCTCAGATCCCAAGCATAGAGTGGGTGCAAGGGGGGTTACAAAAGAAAATGTTACACTTTGCACAGAGGGGAGTGGTCTCTAGTAACCCCCCTGGAGCACTCGGCTGTCTAGCAGAATGCGGAGTTTGATAGGAAGCTTTCTTGCAAGAGGTCCACCCCAGGGGAAGACGCTTTCCCCGGACATGCCTTCCGTCAGATGTGCCAACTCTGCCATTTCAGGTGTGGGGAAAGCTGTAGAAGTGCCGGGCTTCCCCTCCCTCCACAGCCCCTCCCTCCGCAGTGCACTCGCCCTGCTTTCCCTGCATGGTCCTTTATTTTCTTTGACCCAGACAGTGTTGGCCATGGGGACTTCTGGGAACGGCTGAGCCCTGTCGGGACATCATGGATAACCTGTACTGAACAGAGCAAGGATTTGGAGAGGTTTAGTGTCTCTTTGATAAACCCTAGCATTTTTGCAAGGTAACTTTTGCTAAACTGGAGCTGCAGAACTGCGCAGGTCTATGGACTGACAAACAGCCCCCCCCCCCCCCCCGCGGCCCCGTAGTTTTGCTGAGGTTTAACAAGGCTTCCTAAATTAGATCTTTTGCTCGGAAAGCGAACCATCTCTGTTTGAAAAAGTAAGCCCTGCTGAGCTCTTCTCAGCCTGCCTGGAGGTAAGTTCCATTGAACAGAGTGGGACTTACTTCCTAGGGGCATGTTTAGGATCGTGCTATAAATGTGTGGTGTAGTGGTTAAGAGTGCAGGACCAGGACTCAGGAGATCCAGGTTCTGGTCCCTGCTCAGCCATGGAACTTATTGAGTGACTTTGGGCTAGTCACAGACTCAGTCCAGCCTACCTCACAGGGTTGTTGTTGTGAAGATAAGATTGGGGAGGAGGAGAATGATGTAAGCTGCTTTGAGTTCCTTGCAAGGAAAAAATCTGGGATATAAATAAAAAATCAATATAAAATATATCAGCATTCAGTAGTGTGTATATTCTTTAATTTGATCTGATTAAATGCAGAATCTTCTCTGTCTCTTTTATGCCCTTATTTTCATGGGTTGTACTGGAGGGGACAGCTACAAGCCTTGTCTTGTCTTGTTAGACTTGGGGTTGGGAAATTTCAGTGAAGAATCCGTAAAAAAAGTCTTACATGTCCATCTCACATTTTTGTCCTCCTGCAAGGAAACCCTAGCAGTTCACATGGTTCTCCTCCTCTTCATTTTATCTTCACAACACCCCTGTGAGGTAGGCTGGGCTGGGCTGAGAGCCTGTGATTGGCTCAGAGTCACCCAGTGAGTCCCATGGTTGAGTGGGGACTAGACCCCAGATCTTCTGAGTCCCAGTTCAACCCTCTAACCACTGGCCAGAAGACATTGCTTTTCTAAGGGCAATGAAGCAGTTTGGTCGACTCATCACTGCTTTCCAAATAGAGTTTCCTTTTTAATCCTCTAGAAATGAATGTTCCGGGTATTTTCACTGCATTTCAGTTTGAAGCAGGGAACTGCTGGCTGCGGTGGATGCATATGAACCAGCGGCCGTAACATCCGTTCACGCTGCAGCAACAGCCTACAGCTAACGAGCCCATGCAGTCCAATTCTGGGCTGTTTGTCCCCCAACCATCAGAGTTCTGAGTCCAGGCATCACGTCAGCAACCCAGGGACCGAGCATCCCTGCGCAAAAGGGGGCAGGTTCCAGCACACTCTGCTCCCCCCTGATTTTCAACAACCCAGAGTTTTGCAGACCATGGGTTTCTGCTAACATGCAAAGTAGATCCATCTCCAGGATCAACCTTCCAGCTCCTTTTGTATATCGATAATTCTGTAGCATGGGGTTTAAGTATACAATTAAATTATTCTTTGTTGAGGGAGGAAGAGGAGGAGAGAAAACCGGGAGTCACATGCAGGTTCAGGATTTGACTTTCTAGAATGTTCAACTGGATTCATACGAAGGTGAACTATCTTCACCAAAACATTTGCCTTTCAAAATATCTCTGGCATCTTTGAGGGACCAGCGGAGTGCCTTTCACAAAGAAAGCACCTGAAATCGTAAAGAACAGACAAGAAAGCTGGTGAGGTTTTTGCCAAAACACTCTGCAATGTGCTGCACCAGAGGTGTGGAACCTCTTTCAGTATAAGGCTGAATTCAGATTCTCGGGGGCCACATTCCAGTGATGGATGAAGGCAGCAGACCAGGACTAGGACCACGTCCAGCATATCAGCATTTAAACCTCTTCCTACCAGTTACCGAGTCCTTAAGAAGCATGTTGACCTTTCAGCATCAGGGAAAATGAAGATAATTGTACAAACCTCAGGAAACCAGAATTATGGGGAAAGCGGTGGACCAGAAGAAGGGGGCCTGACCCTTTGGGGACAGCCTGGAGGGCCAAGTCTGGATGTCAGCTGAGCCATGCATCTCGGCTTCTGGTGTCGGAAGACAAGCTCTGCTGACTCAGGTGAAGGGCCAGGGCCGGCCAGCCCTATCCTTGCCCAGGCTCGTGTGCTCCCATCCGGCACCAGATCTGCAAGAGCAGCAAACTGCTGCCTTTTTCCAGTCCTTGCCAAGAGGGCTCCCACCCCTGGAGGGCCCTGTTGGTTACTTGGCTGCCATGGCGGTTGGCACAGCTAGGGAGCGCCTGGCTGGACTCTCTCGCGCCACCTGCTGGGCATGCCACTGTTCCTGCCTCCCGTGGGTGAAGGTGCTTGTCTGCCAAAGTCTCGCGAGAGTTCTGCTAATTCCCCGTGGGATTCCCACCTCAGGGCACACGTGTGTTGGGGGAGAATGGGCCCAAGTGAGCCAATGTGCAGCTGGCCAGACAGGTCAAGTATGGCTGGCTGGGGCATGCTGGGAGTTTCAGGCCTTTTTCCTGTCTTAACATGTGTCGGATGGGACCCATGTAGAATGATCTGTAGCCTGTACTAGATCTCGTTTTCACTATGCGTTTATTGGACCGAGTCCTTTCTTTTATGTTTCAAAAGCCATCTTAGCTGCTGACTGTTTCCACCTCTTGTGACCAGAAAATAATGGTGCATTGCTTGTTCTTTGTGCTCTCTGCGCATCACACAAATGGACTTTGTGCTTGTTGCTGGAAATATCCTACAGATTCAAAGTATTAGTTTGGATGGGAGCCCCTCCCCTCCCCTTCCTGTTTCCTGGATCTATGGGGAGGGGCTTCTGTCCATCCCTCGGTTCGTTTTTGGCTCCCTCCGTGCCTAGATTGGGAAATGCTTCTTAACTGGCGTATTCTTTCAGCATTTCTCTCTTCCTCCTTGGCTCCCTTTTAACCCATCTCTCCATGAACTTCACTGTTTTCCCTCATCATGTGTAAAATCTTTCTAAAATTTTCCTACCCACTCTCCCTCTGATCTTTTGGGTCTTTCTACGAGTCCCTTCCTCATTCTCTGCTCTCTCCCTTCCCCATCTAGAGTGATGGCATCAAAGACACCCTTTAGAAAGTAACCCCCTCCCTCCATCTCTGCTCGAACTGAAGCCAACTGGCCCCCATCTGCAGAGGGCACGGGGGTCAGACCGGGGCAGTACAACACTCCTCCCTTGGTCCTGGGTCCCACAGGCAGTCTCAGTGCAACTGGGGGAATGGGGGCAGGCCTAGGAGGCGGGGGGGGGGGCTCCTGCCAGACTAACACTTGGCTGCAGAATCGCCCCAAGAACAGCTCCCATGCAGGCACAGAGCCCGCATGTGGGAATGCACAGGTGACCACTCAAAGAACAGCGGCCGCAAGTAAGCAAGCTGCCTGTGTGCGTCACATGATTCTGTACTGTCAGGGAACCTCTGTCTCTGCCTTTCCACTCGTCCTTCCAAGTTTCAGTCACTTCCCTAAGAGTCTCCTGGCTTTGTCTAACCAGAAAAGCCTCAAACACCTTTCCCTGTGCTATGTGGGTGCAGACTGGAGCAACTGCGGTCATTATTGTACTCCAGAAATTATTATTGTCATGTTTGACTTCACAAAAGCAAAAAATAAAATTCCCATTGTTTCTGTGTTTTTTAAGCCACATACTCATGTTATGGCATTATTTGAAGAACGTTGAATCACTTTTACTTCCGTGCACAGCAATTTGTGTGAGTTTGGAACATGAATCTTCTTATTCAGGAAGAATCTTCTTCTTGCACTTGCATTTTCCTGGTGGGAACAGCCCTGGTAGGATTATCTTGAGGGTTTTCTCTTTTCCTGCAGTAACAAGGCTGTATGTTTCTTGTGAATCCTCTACAGATACATGTAAAGGGTTTTGAAAAACAAGTGTCTCAAATCTTTGGAAGAGCCTGTGGTGAAAATTGGACCCTCTAGAGGTTTTGGTCTGCAACTCGAATGATTCCTCACCCTTGGTGATGCTGGCTAGGGATGATGGGAGCTGTAGGCCAAGACTTCCGGAAACATTGCTCACCCAGGATAAAAATTTAGGCTTCTGTAGACATCCCATGGCTCCTTCTTTCCCAGTGTCTCAGCCGTGTGACAAGAACAGTCTTTCTGGGGCACAAGGACTTTGATCTTTGGACATATAAAAGTTCTTAGTAGCAGTTCCCCTGCCCTTTTCTGTCAGCAGCGTGCAAAAGACCCTGTGTGTGTGCAGGAATAAATTATTTGGGATTTATTCCCGCAAACATGCATGCATGCACACTACAGTAGCTTTATTTTTATCATGCAAATCAGTGCATGCCTGAGTTGTGTCTGCAGCTGGACTGGGTAAGTAAGGAGAAGGTTGCATCCTTAAAGTGCATTTCTGTGCTCAGTCCCAGTATTTTTGCCATAGTTTTAAAACATGGCTGGAGAACGGGACACAGGCAGAAGATGTGCTGGGCTTCCATCAAGCCCTTCCTCCCTAAAGCTCAGGGGTGGTGCACGTGGTCTTACGCTCCGTCTTATCCTCACTACATCCCTGTGACATAATTAGGCAGAGAACTGGGGAAGGGACCGAACCCGCACCTCCCTGGCCCTAGCCAGGCTGGCCCTCTCCATGCGCTGTGGGTGAATCGTCTGTCATGCAGGAATGTCTCCGCATGAGTTCGTCTTGCAGAATTTGCGCAGCATCTGAGATAGAGGCATTGAAGGTCTGACTGGGATGCAGCTGGCTGCAAATCAAATTATGGTCCAGACAGGTAGTTTGCTTTGACTAGCTGCAAGATGTCTGTATTTATAGCTGTGAGAGAGCAGTCCCCATTCTCCTGATTCAGTGTAATGGATTCAGGATGGAGTGTGACCCAAACACCTGGTGTTAATGTATCTTTTGATGTTCTGTGTCACTTTCTATATTGAGTTGATAGAATCCACATGAAGGACTCCATGCCTCCTGTCTTTCGAGGCCAGTCCCTTGTAGTGTGTGAGGAAAGAAAGCTGCTTGGCCTAGTCCGTGAAGTTCAGCCCCGAAAACGTCATCTGACATCTGCTGTGCTGGAATAGTAGAATTGGAAGGTGCTAATGAGGCCACTGGGGTCAGCTCCTGCTCAGTGCAGGATGCCAGGTTTCAGCATTCCCGAGAGATGGCTGTCCAGCTGCCTCTTGAATTCCAGCAGTGTGAGATTGCCCACAAGCTCCCCAGGTCATGGGTTCCATTGCTGAGCTGCGCTGACAGTCAGGAAGTTGTTCTGACATGCAGGCAGAACCTGGTTTCTTGTAACTTCAGTCTGTTATTCACTGTCCTGGACTCTGAGATGCTCGAGAAGAGATCCTGGCCTTCCTCTTCGTGACAACCCTTCAAGTACTCATGGAGCACTATCCTATCTCCCCTCTGTCTTCTCTCCTCCAGGCTAACCATGCCCAGTTCCTTCCTTCTCTTCACACAGGGCAAGGGAGGGCCCGCAACCTCTCCAGGTCATTGGTTCCATTGCCGTGCTGTTCTGACACCCAGGGAATTTTTCCTGGTATCTAGACGGAACCTGGCCTCCTGAAACGGGAGCCCATTATTCCATGTCCATTGTTAGGGTCAGTGCAGCGCAGGGCCACAAGGTTGGTGGCCGGTTTGCAGGGGATGCCGTATGTGGCGAGACTGAGGGAACTGGGTCTCTTCAGCCTGGAGAAGAGGAGACTCAGAGGGGATCAGTTGGCAACATACAGGTATGTGAGGGGGAGTCACACGGAGGTGGGTAGAGACCTGCTCTCCCGGCAGAGAAAGGCAGGACGTGCTCCAACAGAACCAAGGTTCAATTTAGATGCCAGGAAGCACTTCCTGACAGTTAGGACCCCGAGGGTGTGGAATGGGCTTCCACGGGAGGTGGTTGAGGCCCCATCGGTGCGGGTGTTCAAGGATAGGCTGGACAGGCACATGGTGGGCATGTCGTGAGTGGAGCCGGCTGGAGCCGGGGGTCAGACTAGATGCCCAGAAGGCCCCTTCTGACTCGCTCTGTTTCTATGTTTCTTTGTCCTGCACTCTGGGATGGTCGAGAAGACATCCTGGCCCTCCTCTTTGCGCCATCCTTTCAAGTTCATGCAGGATGCTAGCCTATCTCCCCTCAGGCTTCTCTTCTCCAGGCGAAACACGCCCAGTTCTCTCCATCTCTCCTCACAGAGCTTTGTTTCTGGTCCTCGCATCTTCCTTGTTGCCCTCCTCTGAACCCTTCCTGGCTTGCCTGCATTAATATATTCTTAAGAAGTGGAGCAGCAGTTTTAAAAGTGGGGTTCAAACCCAGGACATTAGTGGCAATTCAGGGGCATTTTCAATATATGTGAGCGGGATAAGATGTAATCCCAGTAAGTTAGGTCTACTAATTTAGAATCACAGGCCATTTTAACCTTGTAAATAAGCCTAGAAAAATGAGTGGCCTCGTGTGTGTTTTACTAGCCTGCTAAGGGGACAGTAGCTTGTATTTCCACAAAGGAGTTGAATCCCATGCATGGATTCTAGTCTCTTTGCAAACTCGTAAAAGAGCAAAACAGGAAGTGTTCAGTCAATCAGCCAAAGTAGCTTCTTTCCCTTGCCATCCCACAGGGAAGCCAAGCAGATGAGCAGGGAAGGATTGGCGAGAGCCATCCCTCCTCCAGCCGCCCACCCACTCACCTGCATGGCATTTCTGGTCAGGTAGGGCCACCAGGTGTGTCGTCGGATGCCCAGCCAGGCAATTTGGATGCTCACAATCTATTATTTCTGGCTTCTCTGTCACCCTCCAAGGGCGCTCCTTAGCTTTGGTAAGTTGTCCTTGACTAAAGTGAGCTGTTTGTTGTTTCCAGGAAGAGTGGGATCCCAGCAGCAGTGGCAGTTCAGGATCCCGGCCAAGTTCAGGCTCCAGACATGGGTCTATATCAAGGTCTGACGGCCAAGGGAGAAGCAACCAGTTCAGGCATTCAACCAAGGTATCCTGGTGCTGGTGGCGGCGGTGGCAATGACAGTGGCACTGATGGACGGACTAGGACAGGTGGAAATGGCGTCCCGTCTGCTGGGTGGTGTTTGTCACAGGCCTTCTTCTGAAAGACAGGATCCTTTGCTGTGTGCGTGTGTGCGTGCGCGTGTGCATACGGTGACATCCTTGGTAGAACCATCTCCTCCATGCTTCTCCATGAGTGGCCGCACCCTGCTGCCCAGTGCCCCAGAATCCTGCAATTTAGAAAGACCTGCAGGAAAAGTGGCACGACTGCGTGTATTTAACGAAATGCCATCCTGTTCCTGGGTTGGCCAAATGCCATATTTATGCTTTGGCACGTTTAAGTAGTTCTGTGCTGGAGAACGGGCTTCATGACATACAGAGTCAGCAGAGTGAACCCAAGCTCATTTGGAAGTTCAGGATACTGTCCCAGACACAACTGCAGGTCAGTCGCCGCGGATGGGCAGGACTAATCCCAAGGACAGTTAACCGGCCCTGATGCATTCAAGGGAATTAGAATGGCAGCCGCTAAGGACGCACACCTCGCTTTGAAGCAGTCAGAGTCCTATTTTATATGTGTACGAAAATAAAAAATACCTTTTAAAGAAACATTGACATCAAAGGTAGGCAGCTGAGGGAACCCTCCTCCCCAGTGTATTCAAAATGAAACTCCAGCCATACCTTGCTAGCTCTTTTTAGCAGAATCCCATTGCTTCTTAAAAACAAGATTTGTGTACATTAAAAGAATGCAGGGCATCATCACGTGTGGCAAATTAAAATATGTTTATAGGAGAAGTCTAGCAGCAGCAGTCACAAAAATAAATACATTTCTTTTCAAAAGATTTAACCTAGTTCTGAAACGATGGCTCATGAAATGCTCAACCTCTTCTGAATTCATTATAAAAGTTTACTGGCTTGAACCATTATAACTGATAGTTTAATCTCCTAGGTCTATTTTTGTGAGGGATCCATAGGCCAGTTTGCAGAATTTCCCAAGAATTTTGAGGGCCAAATAGTAAAAGGAGGTTCTTTTTGAACCAAATATACCTGCCATTTGTCCGTGATAAAGATGAAAATGAACCTGGAAATAGTTTGGATTCAAAAGGAAAACCAACTCTGCACCTATGAGAGAGATGGCCTGGTGGTAATCCCACTTGAAAACCACATCCTACGAACTGAAGCCACTAGCTTCTGCAGCGCTGGCAAAACTGTTTTTAGCCAGGAATACCCCAAGTTATTAGCACGTTCCTGATCGCAGTGAGCTAACTTTATCATCTCTCTTAAATCCTGTCCTTGATTTGGCTGTTTCATGTTTGCACATTGTCTGCTTGCTGACTTTTCCTTTCTTGAGCAAGGGAAGCTGCTCGGAGGATCAGGCTTGTGCTGCCAAAAACTGATCCTTCCCATCCCACGTCCAGGCTTGTGTGTGATCACAGAAGTTGGACCAAGTCCACACATGGTCAACATCCCGAGGGAACGTGGCAGCCAGGATGGTGGGGGCAGTGGCTCCTGTGTGTGGAAGGGGCAGGACACCGAGTCATCGAGCTGTAGGGGAAAGCAGAACCTGTATCGGGAGCGAGCATGGTTGGGCCCATGACAAGGACCAGCCCACTGACTGGGGTTGGCCATCCTGCTTGCTTCCTGCCTCTCTGTCTGCCGAGGAGGTGGTCCTGATGAGAGTGAGCAGAAGCTGTTGGCAATGCTGGTGAGAAGGTGGGCTCATGGAGGGCCTGTGGAAGCTGCCTTGGCCAAAGGACCTCCAAGATCTGGAGCCAGCACTGAAGGAAGGGATGGATGCATCTGAGCATCACTCCAGTCCGGACCATCGAGCTGTGGTCAGGTTGCCCCAGGTGATATGGCCTGCTGGTGAAAGCGCTTCCAGTCATCCCTTATGGCCCATTCTCCATGTCGTATCAACTCAATGGTCGCATTAACCTCCAAGTGGTCAGCCCATCAACATGACGGAGGAAATAACTGTTCCGGGAATGGGAAATTTCCAGCCACAGCTGTCTTTGAATGATGGCATCTTACTGATGATTCTTGGAGCATGACCCAGTAAAGATGATAATTCTCCCATTGTTGACGTTACTGTTTCTGGTTAGGTAAAGGAGAAGTGAGGGAGAGAGCTCTTCTGGCAGGAAGCAACTCTTCAGCTTCCCGTTCATTTCCTGTGTGATGAAGGGCGATAAAGGGATCCGTGTTGAGCAATCGTGTGTCTGCCCTCGCTGTGGGTTTCAGTTGCACCCTGTTTTTTTCTAGTTTGGCACCCAAGCTTATCTCAGTTTCATTGGCTCATGCTATTGGCTTCTGCTGAGGTTTAGCAACAGTGAGTTACATCGGGTGAGTTTATTGTAACTGTGAAGAATCGCTTGAAAAGTAATATGCTTTTTCATTCTTCTGGTTTGTTTATAGAATGGCAACAAAGACAGTTCTCTGGACATGCTGGGCACGGATATCTGGGCAGCCAATACGCTCGAGTCCTTCAGGTGAGCTGGGCTTTCCGAAAGAAAGTGAGCTGGTCTTTCCCACCCTTTCTGTTCCGCAGGTGCCACGCTTGTGTGCTTGCTTCCCACCCTTCTGATCACACGATGGAGTATTCCACTGATCAGGCAGGGAAAACTTGCATCATTGCTGAGGAAAGGCAGGACGGAGCCTGGATTGTCATCAAGGGTGGACATCTGCCTCAGGCCCAAAGCTCCCTGGGGTACCATTGAGAAGAGCCCCTGGCTTTGCGCCTTCTCCTCACCTTTTCCGCCTGCTGGTTCGGCTGCCCCAACAGCAGTGCTGCTGAGGAGGAGGAGCTATGAGCACCACAGCCTGTGCGCTCCGTGCCTGCCAGGCCATGCTGAGGAGGAGGAGGAGGAGGAGGAGGAGGAGGAAGAGCGGCAGCTCTTGACCATGGAGGCCACATGGAGACTCACTGACCGAGGGGGCCCGTTGATGGGCTGTCACTCGTGGGCCCGCAAACACATGGACTAATGGCGGACTCTGCTCCCTTTCCTGTAGGTCTGATGTTGGATACTACCCTGTAGCTTCCGTGGGTGCTCATCTTTTTCACGGATGGTCTCCCGGTGTTGCTGCTTTCGACATGCGGGTGGTTGCCTCGAATTCAAGGCTCTGCCATCTTCGGCAGGTTGCTCATTCAGATCAGTGTTCCCCAACCTGTTGCTCTCCAGGCATTCTGGACTGCAGCTCCCACAAACTGTGTCCATGGGCCATGCTGGCCAGGGGTGATGAGGGCAGAGTCCGAAACATCTGGATGGCACCAGCTGGGGAAGGCTGATCACACAATCATCTCAAAACGTTTTAATGGACCAAATGAGGCTCTGCATTGAATTGGGTGCCATATCCTTCAGGCTTCTTCTGGATTAATAATATAGACAGATAGATCCTTCATATGAAAGGAACCTTCTGAAGGTCACCATGCGCATTAACTAAGAAGCAGTCAGCTGAACCTTCTCTTTTACTCCAGAGTCAGTGCATGCCACTGTGATTGGATTGGGACCGCAGCTCCCTGGGTGGGGCATCTTCTGCTGTCACAGCTGCTCAGTTCCTGAAATTACACACAGGCAGAGGCAGTGGGAGGGGAGGGGGGTCTCTAGACTGCCCGAGTCAATGGGGCATGTCTTGGCTCCCTTCTCAAGATCACACAGTCCCGGTTAGGCCGTCCTGACTTTAGGCAGTCTCCCGAATGAACCACAAGGCCGACGGTTCATTCCGACCCCCTCCTCTGCCGAAGGCATGCCTTGTCTCACACCAGTTTAATTCCAGGTGGCTCCGTCTCTTATTCTTTCTTCCTAGTGGTGCCACTTGGGACTTGCAACCTGAAAAACTTGACTTCTCGCAGTTCCACAGGAAGCTCCGCAACACCCCCAAGCACCCGCTCCCACACATCGACAGGGAAGGGTGAGTGACCGATTTGGCTGGAAGTTGTCTACCGACCACCTTTTTCAAGCGTGGTTGTATTTTAATGGAGATTTGCTGTAACTGTGTTAAATTTTGTATTTTTGCATTTTGTTGTAAGTTGTCTTGAGTCTTCGTCTTTGAGACAAATTCTGAGAGATGATGATGATATGATACAGATGTACTGGAGACCAAGGCCAAAATCATCCACACTGTTGTATTCCTAATCACTATGTATGGGCGTGAAAGGTGGACAGTGAAGAAAGCTGATAGAAATGGATGTGTTTGAAGCGTTATACTGGAGGGGAGCTTTCCAAATATCCAGGACTGACAGAAAGACGAGCACATGGGAGCTCAGTCAAATCAAGTCAGAGCTTTCCCTAGAAGCAAAAATGACAAAACGGAGGCTGTCCTACTTTGGACGCATCATAACACAGTAGGACTCCCTGGAGAAGACAGCCCTGCCAGGGAAAGGCAAAGGCAGAAGACAAGGTACGCCAAACATGAGATGGATGGACCCCATCAAGGAAGCCAAAGCCTTGAATTTCAAGAACTGGGCAGGGCTGTCAGGGACAAGACATTCTGGAGGTTATCCATTCATAGAGTTGTAATAGTTGGAGATGTCTTGATGGCACACAACAACAAGAACAATAATATCTCTGTTCAAGATGGGTGTAATGAGAATGTTCAGGCCACCAGGTGGCTGCAGCGGAAGCCTCATAGCATTGATGTGAGTTCATAGAGAGCCAGCGTGGTGTAGTGGTTAAGAGCATGGGACTGGGGCTCAGAGGATCCGGGTTCCAGTCCCCGCTCAGCCATGGAGCCCACTGGGTGACTTTGGGCCAGTCACAGACTCTCAGCCCAACCTACCTCACAGGGTTGTTGTTGTGGGGATAAGATGGAGGAGGGGAATGATGAAAGCTGCCTTGAGCCCTTTGTAGGAAAAAGGCAGGATATAAATCGCAATAAATAGGTTTCAAGAGATGAAAAGCTGTTTTGCTTGTGCACAGACCTGTGCCTCACCGACTGCAGTCTTCACTTGCGTGAGCTGAATGGGGTTCTTTGCCGTGTCTTTTCTCTGCTACCAAAGAATAAAGGCATGCACAGAACCTGCCTTCCTGGATCCTTTTGTATACTGCATGAAACATGAAAGGACAGCAGCTTAGGCAGAGAGTAGTTTCACGCTCACTCTGGGATGGGTTTCAGCAGCCTTCTACATCGGAAGCGATGTCAATCCTACCAGCGAAAACCCGTAATTCCAGTTCTTGCTGCTACTTCAGAAGACTTTTGGGTACACAGTTGGACAACCGCTCAGTTCTTGGGGGATCCCACCACTAACAGCAAATCTGGAAGAAGGATTCCTTTTCTGTCTTCCATAGCAACTACTTGTGGGTGATCATCACCTAAATCTTTCCATTCTCTTCTGCTGCCCCCACCTTCGAGAGGGATAGAGATGGGCTGGGGGTGGGTGGGGAAAGAAGGTGCTGAACTGGCGTCATATCCAGACGGTGCCGCTGTCTCCTTCCCGTCCCCTCTGCACAGCACTCCATCGAGATGGACAAAACGTCTGTCCAGAGGAAGGATGGGGCGTGTGCTGTCGGGGCATTGGGAATCCGCGCTGCTGTTCCTCATGCCCCACATCGGACGCACGTGAGCCTCCATAGTCGAAGGCGTCTGGGCACGAGGGCAGATACCGTGGGATCGTGGCCTTTCTTCCTTTTGTTCTGTGTCTGTGAGCACCTGCACATGTGCCTTTGCACCCAAGGTCTTGACCCGGCCTCTTGTCTGTCCTTGACTCAGGATTGGAAAAGGAAAGTGTGAGGATGGAGACGGGATCAACTTGAATGACATCGGGAAGGTTCTGCCGGCCTGGCAGGTGAGTGTCGCAGCTGCTTTTCAATTCCCCGGCCGCCGATCGTGTGCCCGGCTTAGCCTGCGTGGGGCGTTCGGTAGCCACGGGGGCCGTGCCCCCTCCAAGCCCCTGCTGCCCATTCTCCACATTAGAACGACTGCAGCAGCTTCCGGCACCTGGGCACTGCTGCAGTGATGTGTCCGCAAGGGGGAGGCGGGGGATTCGAACTGCCTCTGCTCTGTGCCACCCCACACCGCCAAGGCAAGCTCAAAGAACAGCCCCAGTAGGTGAGAGAAGCCCAGCCTCCGATCCTTCAGCCAGACCCTGCGCGCCTCACGCCTCTCCCAGCAGGGAAGGGGGCTGAAACGCCCGCAAGAAGGGCTGGGCAGCGACTCCAGGCTGTGCCCCCAGTGCTAGCCAGACCGTGGCTGGAGTGGTGCCGGTGGCCAGCTGGCCTCCCCTCCAAGTACGGCTCTGCCTCTGCGCCAAAGCCTTTAGATCAGCCTTCCTCCAACCTGATGCCCTCCAGATCTGTTGGATGGCAACTCCCATCATCCTGTGCCAATGTGGTTCGGGAAGGCTGTTTGAATGCTTTTATGCCAGGTTAATTCTTGTGGCTTCCCTCAAAGTATCCCAGGAATTGTGGATTGATGGCTGTGATGCGAATGTCAAGGTCTCTATCCCCCCTTGCAAAACTACAGTTCCCAGGGTTCCCTGGGGAGAGGGAATGTCTGTTGGGGGAGTTTAGCGCCTAGGCTTTCTCCGGTAGCTCTCTCCAAGGGGAATGGCCATGTCAGAGTTGTGTCTGCGCCCTCTGGTGGCCGCTACTGTAATAGCACCCCTTGTAGTTGTAGCGATGGAAACCCCCAAGTAGCACAATGGATCAGTTTCACAAGGATTTCTTCCGTTGGTGAAAGGGGACTCGAGGTTTTTGGAATTGCTGAAGAAGGGGGCTCTCATTTATAGAAGCTGAATTAATGCAGGGGTGACACCAGGCTTCCTTTACCATCCTGCAAAGAAAATGAAGATGTTTAGCATCAAAACAATCTCCAAAGGTTTCTAAGAGAAGTGTGCAAGATCACATGGAACAACTTGGATCCCAGCTTGGTAGTTCCAAAAAACCCCCTGCCTGATTCCGTTCAAATTAATCTGAAGGCTGAAATCCAAAGCTTTGCACCTGTTGTTGACTCTAATGAGAAATCAAAAATGGCTGCAGCATTTTTCATCTTGTCAGATGTGGGTAGTAAGATCTTGTGAGCACGTGTGGGTGTGTGCATGAACTATAGACCTTTATATATAGGTTATATACCTCTCAGAAAGGTTTATTAACTCAATCCAAATTTGCCTTTGAGGTCACCCCTGTTCAAAGTTTGTTTTGGATGTGAGGTTGTGTAAAGGCCCTGCAAATTGACAAGAACAAGCTGAATTGTGTGGACTCAGTTCCTTAACTGTCTGGACTTAGAGGGGGTCAATATTTTGCCACTGGCCCTACCTCCCAAAGAGTCCAGTGTTGTTCCTGGTTTCTCCTAGCTTCCTGGCCGACCTTTGCCGCAGTTCCCTGACCTGGTCCCCAGGCTAAAGGTTGTTGTGGGGCTGAGCAGGATAACTTCCATAAACAGTACCACTGGCAGCTCCTTGAGTCAGCTGGGATACAAATACGATCAGTAAATTCTATTGCATCACATGGTTAGAACTTTTCTGTTTGATAGGATGCGTGTCAGAGTTTTGAAGAACCTCTCAGGGCTAAGTACCAGAGCTGGCTGGGGTCAAAGGGAAACAAAGGGATAAAAATACCAATGATTTTAATTTAACTTGCTTACCACCATTAACTAAGCCTTAGGAGGGGCTTAGAATGGAGGAAAAAAGGAACAAAACAAGGATGTTTTACCTGCTTTCTCACTGGGTCCTCAGTTTGCATACCGGATCTTGTGTAGAATACTTGTTTGGATTGCTGCCCTCTTCCCTTGTACTGTACTGTTGGTTGTGTATTGTGAGCTGCTTCGAGAGTCCTGTTGAGCATTTGCGTGGCATATACATTTGGAAAGGAAAGATAAATAGCAAAAAGGAGAGCATTTAGAGGAGCAAGATATATTATTACGGGTTTGAATAATGACGTAAAGGCCAATGTAGATGTTTATATATTGAGAGACCTAGATTTAATCTCTCTAGGGTTTGAGAAAGAGTCAATAAATTCAGGTTGCAGCAAAGCAACCAATATGTTGGTTACTAAGACATGTTTTCTAACTGGGTCCAGTGGGGGCAGGTTATGATGAAGATGAAGCCTTCTCTTCCATGTGAAGAATAGGTGCTAATATTTACGCCTGCTTTTGCGGGGAGCAAGTCCTGAAGGGCTGAGCAAAAGGCTCTGTAGAAAAGTTGTTTTGAAGATGTTTGGGGAAGAATTTCTAGGCATCTGGGGCAGCAAGGAAAAATGGGGTGGAGTTGTTTCAGGAATCAGGAAACCAGGAATATGACCTGCTCTGTTCAGCCGTGCACTCAACCTGGATGCAATGAGCATATTGTCTTGGGAAAGCATCCCTTATCCTGCTTGGCTGGCTTAGGGTTTATTTATTTATTTATTTATTTATTAAAACATTTTTATGCCGCCCCATTTGCCGAAGCCTCGGGCGGCTTACAACATAGATAAAACAAGTTAAAATCCATATAAAATAATCTTAATTAAAACACACATTATAAAATAAGCCGCCCTGGCCAGATAAAATTCAATTGTATTTAGCATTTAAAATGTTGCTTAAATAAAAAGGTCTTAGCCTGGCGCCGAAAAACAAATAACGACGGCGCCAGGCGGACCTCTCTGGGGAGCGCATTCCATAACTTAGGCGCCACCGCTGAGAAAGCCCTTCTCCGAGTAGCCACCCTCCTAATTTCTCTCACGGAGGGCTCCCGGAGAAGGGCCTCTCCCGCCGATCTCAGGGGGCGACTGGGCAAATATGGATGTAAGCGCTCCTTCAGGGTTCCCAGGGGAGCCAAGCAAAAGCAGCTGCACATTAGGAGACTGAGGCAGAATCATGTCCTGCAATGTAAGAGAATGAAGGCTTGTAGGCCTGTGGACCGATCTATGTGCCCTGGAACTCACTCAGGGAGAGCCGTTATCTTAGTAACAGGCAGGTGCCTTCTGAAATCTTATGAACACTGATTGGTCTAGGCTTGCTGTTAACTCGGCTCCCTCTTGGGAACAGAGAAACAGAGCAAGTCAGAAGGGGTCTCCCGGGCCATCTAGTCTGACCCCGGCTCCAGCCAACTCTGCTCATGACATTACCTACCATGTGCATGTCTAGCCTGTCTTTGAACACCCTCACCGATGGGGCCTCAAGCATGTCCCGTGGAAGCCCATTCCACACCCTTGGGGTCCTAACCATCAGGAAATACTTTCTGGCATCCAAATTGAGCCTTGGTTCCTTAAGCTTGCCTCCGTTGGAGCACATCCTGCCCTCTGCAGGGGAGGAGAGGTCTCTACCCACCTCCGTGTGACACCCCCTCATGTACCTCTATGTCACCAACAGGTGAGTCTCCTCTTCTCCAGGCTGAAAGGACCCAGTTTCCTCAGTCTCGCCTTAAAATTCCTGCTCTTTAAAAGGCCGTTGCCCAATTCTGCAGCTGCTAGCTTCTACAGCATGGAGGGGATCAGGACTGCCTTCCAAGCATGCCTCTGAGGACTCTGGGAAAAGCCATGTTCTGTTTCTAAGATGGGCATTGGTTTGTGTGCGTTCTGAAAATGCTAAAGAAATTTGTGCAAATAGGACACTTTGCATAACTTTATGCAATTTACATAAATTGGATTTTGCATGTTTTGCAGAAATCTGCACCCAAAAGAACATTTGACTTTAGCACAGTTTGCATAAAATTGGGTGTTTGTGCAAATTGCACCAGGTCCATTGTGGTTTTGGGAGCCAATTTCTGTAAAACATGAACATTCTGTGATTTATGCAATTTACATAGAGTTAGCCAAATTGTATAAAGCTACCCAAGGAGCACCCTTTTGGCATTGAAAAATGTGCAAATGACACCTGTCTTAGAGACAAAAGTCCAAAAGCTGGCTCGACTCCCGGCAGAGCACGTCAGCACCAGGCAGAATCTCAGGGGGCTGAATCATTAAAAATCCAACAAATTCTCACTCCCCTTTCAGATTCATCACTAACTGAAGCTGGAGAACCCAGCACACCACAACCAAAGACCAGGCTTCCGCTGTATCCATAGCTGAGTAGGAACCAAACATTTATGATTTAATTACAGTCAGAGGCACGTGCTTCCCTGAGCAGACCTTCCTGGCACGTGAAGCCCCCAGTGTGGCTGAAAGGAAGTGGATGTGTCTGAATGGCAAACCAGATATTAAGACAAATATTTGTGTACCCTTGGAAAGTGTCAGGGAAGGAACGGCTGAGCAAGAAGACTTCGGCCCCAAGGGCCTGCCGAAGCAAAACTGTACCAGCCAATCCATAATGCTCTCGCCACATCTGTGGCTGAAATTCTTCCTAAGAGTTGCCCTAAACATTTGGCAGCAGAGACAGATTCTTTTTTTTAACTCTGCAGGGGTTCTGACATGCACCTCTCTCTCTCTTTCTCATTATTATTATTATTATTATTATTATTATTATTATTATTATTAACATTTCTATGCCGCCCCTTGCCGAAGCCTCAGGGCGGCTTACAACACAATAAAATACAATACAATACAAAAATAACAATATAAAATTAAAATTAATAATATAAAATAAATAAAAAATATAAACGATATAAAAGAAGTTATAAAAGAAGAGTTAGAAAAGAAAAGAAGTCGCCCTGGCCAGATAAATAAGTAAATATTGTTAACAATTAAAATGACGTTTAAATAAAAAGGTCTTCACCTGGCGCCGAAAAACAAATAACGACGGCGCCAGGCGGACCTCTCCGGGGAGCATATTCCATAGATTGGGCGCCACCGCAGAGAAAGCCCTCCTCCGAGTACCAACCCTCCGTGAAAGAAATTAGGAGGGTAGGTACTCGGAGGAGGGCT